AAAATACACATTTTTCATACTGAATTGGGGAAACACAATTAGTAGGATTTTATTATAACAAATCTAAATGTTGGCAGTGATACTTACCTCAGTTTGCTTTCTACAATAGCTTGTATGTGCTGATGCTAAGCTAAAGAAAAATTATGCATGATAAAGTAGTTCCAAACTCCATTCAGGGGCAGGCTACTGACAGCTGAGCTGACTTAAGCTTGGCAGAGGGAAAGCAAGCATTAAAATAGAATTTGACTTACCCCACCCTTCTCCCTGGCATAATTTCTGCTGGGTTGCCAGGCCACAAACTGAACAGAATTAAAATCTTGCGTGGTCCTGCCTCCATCACTCTCCCAGAACACACTTTTTTCAAGGCTTACACCAGTGTACGTTCCTCCAGTATCAGAGCAGCCTGCATAGCCCCAGCTGAGCTGGGGTGAGGGTTTTACACAGGCATATCTTTGGCTAAGGAGGGTTGGGAATGTATTCCAGTATGGCCCAGCTGATCCAGGAACCTGACAGTTGAGTTGGAGGTCTGTCATAACCTAGCTTGCTCATCCCAACAGATCTAGGTTTAGCATTGTGCCCTTAGTCAGGAACAACCTAAATTGATTTCATTGGAACTTATTTATGAGCAGATATGTATAGCAGGAATGGGAAGCCTCTGGTCCACAGGCCAATCTTGGCCCAAAAGGAGGTCCCATTTGACCCACAATGCTGTTTTTCCTACCTGTCAATCCTCTGGTGTCACTCTGAAGGCCTGATAGAGAGCAGAGACTGAATCTTGTAGAGAGCAGGATTAAAGTCAGCTGATGAGCTGACTTTCATCAGCTGATGAGCAGGGACTTCAATGTAGCTGGATGCTACTTCAAAGCGCAGTATAGAGCTGTTTGAAAGCTCTTTTGCAAACAGCCCTGCACTACTCTATAAAACTTTGGTTTTTAGAGGTTTCAAGAGCAATGCAGGGCTGTTTGCAAAAGGGCTTTCAAACAGCTCAGCACTGTGGTTTGACATTCCAACATGCCAACCCTCTGGTAGCATATTGACACCAAGTGATTGACAGATGGGCAGCCCCACCCACCAGTCAAATTTGGCCCACCAGGGGTGAAGAAATAAGAATCTGTCCCGCTGGCCAACAAAGGTTCTCCACCCCTGATGTATACGATTGCAGTGCCTGTTAATAATTTTATTTGCCTCAGGGCCTAGGTTTGCAGCTATCCACAAATCTCTTGTGCATGGAAATATGATATATAAATGAGTTTGTGTGCGCATATGTGGGCTTGGAAAAACTGCATACAGAAAATTAATACCAGCAAACAAGATATGCAAAAATAAATTGGAGCTACCAGTCATTTCTCTCTGAAATATTTAGTAAATCCTCATTTCACTACCATACAGTATGTTTCCATGAAGTGTTTGAGAGAAATATTAAAGCTGCCATTGGTAATGATTACATTTTTGTATTATCAGATCTCACAACAAACCTCCTCTGGCTTGTTCCCTAACAACTGTAGAATTTGTATTTGTTAGTATATTTGTGGTTAGAGAGCCATCTTGTGGCGTAATCATACTGATGAAGAAAGTTGACATTAAGTATAAAACTACTGGGGGTTGAAGGGAAAGTACACATGCCACTGCCACCCAAAAATATAGAGAGAGATGGCAAGTTCCAGTGTTAGTCAACTCCCAGCTGGACTTACACATGCTGAAATAATTGCTGGAGTTGAATATGATGGCAATCCCCCAACATCATATAACTCAATATGGCCAAAATAAACCTACAAAATGAAAAGGTCTTGGGCATCCAGGTTCTCCCTTTCCCACCACATTCATAATCGTAGTCATACCCATATTTATAGTCACAGTTATATAAATATATCTGAGTTTCTTATCTTAATAAGGAAACATTTAATCTATTAATAATCATTCCTGATCCAGACTCATGGGAATCTCTTAAAGTTTTCCAATTATATAAAAAAAAAACTTCACTCAAATAATGTTACTGAATGTATCTAAGAAATGTTATATGATTTCCAACTAATAAATCCTTTCTCTCTTCCCCCCACATTCTTTTCTTTCCCCCTATTTTATATTTTCTTTTCTTGTTAATAATTAAATAGCTATAATATTATATTGATCAGAAATGCTGCTCACTTTTCCCCTCAGAACCTTACCAGTAACTTGGTGGTACAAAGCAAGTCATATATTACATTTAACAAAGGATTTTATGCTCATTTATTATAAGATTATTAAATGCACAAACTTAAAATAGTACAGTATCTTTAAATGAGCATAACCTTTGTCAACTTGTTGCTGTCACTTTAAATACCAACAGCTTACATTAATCTATTAATGATAAATTAGGACAGCTTTAAGGAAACTATTAAAATCCTTTAGCCAAATTGCCCCCTTATTCTCTCCACCCTAGTTAAGCCTCTCCAACAGAGGACTCTGCTGGAAACCTCTTTGTCCAACCCTATAGAAGTGCAGATTTGTCTTGCTGTACTACACCAAAGACCAAGCTTCTTCTCATTTCTTCCCTCAGCACTGCAGTTTCTCCCCTTGTCCTTTCAGCCTAACACAAGTGATTCAGCTCTACCCAGCAAGTATTTGGCCTCCAAACCACTCCACCTTACCTGTCAGTTCTTCTTCCTTCCTCTTTCCCCATTCTCTTCCTCTGCTGTCGTCTTTGGGCTGGCTCCCTGAACCTCAAGCACCAACTATTCCAACTGCCCAACAAATCCTCTGCAGAGCCTTATATACTTTTCTTTCGGCCCCTCTAGTTCAGCCCCAGCCAATCACACTGTCTAACTGAAAATTCTAAACTTGCACCCACCAATCAAAATACGCCTACCTTTCGCATCTATACTGAGAATTCTAACACTAACCCCTCCTCATAACTGTCAGTTAAGGCCCCAAGCGATATTTGAACTAAGTTTCCAACAGAAAACTTCTCATGCCGAATATAGTGGAATGTACAATACAATACAAATGTCAAAATACATTACACAATACCTATTACAACTTATTTTTTCACATACCTCTTTAAGATAGCCGGTACATTAGTTGAAAATATCGTACTTTTACCACAGTTAATTAAGGCTTTTCTTCATCCATTTCTCTGGCATGGTTGGGTGTTGGTGGAAGCTAATGCTGGTAAGACTGATAGAGAAAAGCACCCGTGCATTAGTCTCTCAAACTCTTGCAGATCTTCATATCCCAGCTTTTTGTCCGAGGCTTTATGAGCCTAGCAAACCTCCCCCATTGCTTTCCCCATCTCAGCCACAGTGCCTCGAATATTGAGTGATGTGGGGAGAAACATAGATTTTCACTCTTCTTCCCCTTTGGCTGCGCATGGTGGGGATTGGGAAGGTTGCCAGGGTTACTGGGTGTGAGGTGACAGGAAAAGAGAGGTTTTGAGCAAGGGGTCTGGGGAAAAGCAGCAGGAAGAGGGCTGGGAGTCCATCTTAGGCGGGCTGGCTGAAGGCTAGCTGCACAACTGTGAGGTACAAGCCCCTCTTGAAATGACCATGCTGTAAGATGTGGACTCCATGCAGACTGAAGGTGTAAATAGGTGACTAAACCATATTTCTTAAAGCTACAACAGTCTCTGCCGTGTCTCAATTCTCCAAAGGAACACAGACGCTGGGTGAGTGCCTGGAACCCTATGGACTCTTGCCACCACTCAGCTGAGAGGGGGAGGCACCCAACTTTTGTAACAATATTCTTAATACTTCAGAATTTCCAAGGAAAGGATTGGGTGACATATTTTACAGAAATATATCGCCCCTGTCCTGACCTACCCCCACAAGTTTACTATACTCAGTTATCAGAACTGCCAGAATGGCCAGACGTCATGCCCAATCAGATTAAGAGGCTAATCGCAAGCCAACTAGCTAATAAAGCTCCAGGAGAAGACATGATCCCAATGGAGATCTATAAGATAAGACCTGATTTCTGGTCACCCATTTATGCAAAATTGTTTTCATACATTAACAGCTCAGGTCATATACCTGAAGGGTGGAAGTTGAGTATAATTGCCCCAATATATAAAAAGGGCGATAAGAAAAACCCTGCCAATTATAGACCCATTAGTTTGTTAGATGTAGCCTCCAAACTATATGCCAGGCTCCTTCTTGGGAGACTAGAAGAATGGGCAGATACAAATAAGGTGATATCTGAAGTCCAGGCAGGTTTCCAAAGAGGGAAATCCACATTGGACCAGTGCTTTGTGCTGAACTTTCTGCTATGTAAATACATCCATAATTTGAAGCAAAAATTATATGTTGCTTTTATCGATCTAAAGTCAGCTTTTGATACGGTCCCAAGACACGCATTGTGGCAAAAATTGGAAAAGACAAATATAGACCTCCGTCTATTATTTCTCATCAAAACATTATATACTGACACATCAATACAAGTAAAGGTGGATCTGGCTGGCCATCTCACCACTAGAATTAAGACCACTACTGGAGTCAAACAGGGATGCATTTTGGCACCTTTCCTGTTCAATTTTTATATTAATGACATGGTTAAAGAACTGGAGGGCCTACAGTTTGCCCCTGTCACAATTCTCGACCAAAAACTCTCAGTTTTAATGTATGCTGATGACCTAGTACTTGTATCTAGAACCCAGGTGGGCCTGAGACGGCTGCTTGCAAAATTAAGTTCATATTGCATGAGGAATGCTTTATCTATAAACTATGATAAGACGCAGGTCATTGTATTTGGGAAGCGTTCTAAAAGCATGTTTGGCACCTGGATGAACACATCATAAACCAAGTAAATACGTTTAAATATCTGGGATTGATTTATTCAGAAACGGCCTCTTGGAATACACAGCTATCCAATATTAAATTGCAAGCCTTTAAATCAGCAAAAGCCATTCTGAAATTCGCTGCATGTAAAGGTGGAAATCTGGTCAACCCAGCTCTATCTGTGTATAAAGCAAAAACAATGGCCCAGATTTTATATGGTGCAGAGGTTTGGGGTACCTCAAAGGTCTCCGGTCTGGAACCCCCACAGAATTATTTTTAAGAGTTCTTTTAGGTTTACCCAAAGACGTGCAATCTGCCATGGTCAGGTTGGAAACTCGCATGTTGAGCATAGAGAGCCAAATAGATAAAAGAATTCTCTGTTACTGGTTTAGAGTTCAACAGATGGACAACACTAGGCTACCAAAAAAATGCCTGATTGAGCTCTCAAATGGATTACCCTTTAAAAACTGGGTACATCATGCTGCCCAACTGATGGGCAAATATGACCTCTCAGTGACTAGTGACTGAGATTAAAGAACTCCCCTTATATTCACAGAAAAATATTTTTAAACGAACCATAAGGGCAGTGGCAACTAAAAACGATCTAAACTCTATGTGCACATCTACATGCGCCCCATTGTATTTTAAACTTAGAGAGGTCAATGAACACATATCTTATTTTAATGAATTGACTTTTGCACAGCTTCGAAAAGCTTTTACAGAGCTACGACTAAATACAATAAGCTCTGCTTATAGAGATGGGAGACATAGAGGCATACCAAAAAACTAACGTGTTTGCATTAGAGGATGTTCTGAAGTAGAGGACCTTATGCATTATATCTTGCACTGTCCGTTATATAATGATGCAAGAAAAAGATTTTTGGTACCTATAATGACAGGGTCCCCTGGCCAGAACCCCCTTGATATGATGTTATATCTCCTTGCAGACACAGATAAGTATGTGACCTGGCGGGTAGCACTTTTGCAACTGCTGATAGGAAAATTAGAGCAAATTATATAGCCAAGGTAGCCATTAACTGTAAAGGAGATGAATTTATTTGATCCTATCTATCTACCTCAGGCTATGCTCTATCTTTGTCACCAAACTCTGAGTATAAATTGCACACTGTATTAATTGATATTGTTTTTAACATTAGTGACCATGTGATGATTTTAGCTTATGAATTTTATTGTTTAATGTTTTTATTTGTACATTGGGGTACTTTTATAGCTTTGTTTAGAGTATGTAATGTTTTAATAATATAAATGTTTTAAGTCTTTTTTTACCAATTCAGTATATTTTCTTTTAATTGTCAAATAATTCTGTGTACATTGCGGCAGCCTTTGGCTATGTGCAATAAAACTGACTGAGACTGAATACTTCAGAATTATGCATAGCTCTGTAATATTTCCAGTCAACACAAAGCCCTGTGAACATTGCTCCCACTGTGTGGGAACTGCTTGTCTGTGAGTGGCTCTGTGTAGCTGGTTAACATATAAGTGACCCAACTTGGTGGCTGTGAGCATAGGAAAGACCCATACAATTAGTCTGCCCACCCAAAAGACTGGATCGTTTTAACATTGCTGTAGAATTGCTACTGCTGCTTATTGCTACTAAGGACTATAATAATCCCAAAATTTAATTTTGTGGGATATTCACATTTTGCATTAATGGTTACCCAGTTTAGATCATCCTGAAGTAAAAAAATAACTACTGGTGTCTGTAACATTCGAGCACTGTAATGATATCAAATCAGTCTGCATCTACCAAATGAATCCATCCGCAAAGTACAATATGTGCCTGTGCCCTATATTAAAGAGGAGAGAACCTGCAATTTGTTTTACTTGATGTAGATTAAGTGTTGCTAATAAATGTACTAAAAATTGCTAAAACAGCTTTCAGTTGAACAAGGACTAGGCATCCTTGAAGTAATGTAGTACGAGCAGTGAATTTCTGCATGAGAGGCATACAATTATGGCACACAAGGCCAATGTTCATGAATTAATGAAGCTTGGGCAACTTGGTGGAAAACTGAAATTTGAATAGAAGTATAAAATAGAAGCGACCATGTTTAGCAGAGCCAATTAACTAGTCCATAGAGAAATTTGATACATTGAATAGGATTGGTTGCCTTTTAACACACTACAGTGAGGGTTGCTAGCTGCATGTATAACAATTTTCTCTTTCATCTAAATTAGCTTTAAGCACCATTAACCAACCATGTTATTTCTAGTTTCTTGGAAACTAATAAACAAAAATAAGAAGGATTAGAAGGAACTACACTCAATATAAACCAATAGCTAAAACTGTTTATTTTAAAAAAATACAATAGTAACTCACCCTAAGAACAATTTTACGCAGCTTGAATTCAACATAGTAATTGCACTGCACGCTTTATAGACTAGTAAATTTCATCAGAGTACAGCACAAAGTGGGTTCTGCCCAGCTGAAATCAGTAGCAACAAGCACAACATTTATGCTGTTTTCTGTAACAGGTGTTTGACATTTGGGCTCCCTATCCTGCTATTAAACAGCCTGCCATGAGTAGATGACCACAGTCAATAGGTGGTGTTGGGGTACAGATAAGAATGTCATTCCAGATTTCTCTGAATGTGAAAAATATGTATGATGCACCTCAACACATAACTAGGAAATGTGATTATTTCAGAGTTGGCAGGAGGGATAATCATGGTTTCAGGTGTTACGTTCTCCTTCCAAGGAGAAATGGCAGCTGTGCCAGTGATACTGGGAAGAGCAATCTGCAGAATGTTGTGCTACATCTTAATATCTTAATGCATTAGCCTACTATGGTGATACTCTTCCATCTCCAGCATTAATAATAAATCTTGACCGTTAGACCCACCCACTCAGTCCGCCGAAGCCTGTCTTCACATGCAAGGGAAGTCCCTAACTTACCGAGAGTTTGAGACCCATTGGCTCCCCTCACCTGGTTTAGTCAGCCAGTCAAAGCCATTTCCCATGGTTTGCCGACCTTAGCATGCTGACAGCTTCTAGGAGGCACAGGTGAGAGCTGATGTTAAAGGTGATTCCTAATAACAACAATAACAATAAAATAGAGTTGCATCAAACTGAAACGCAATAAGAGCCAAGAGACGAAAACAGAAAACTTTGCTTTACAAAAGTGAAGTTGACAATACAACTCATGATAAAGGTCATTCCTTCCCCCTGTATTATTGTCATTTTCCAAGAAAGTAAAGCATTGCTTCCATGTTCCTCACAGTCAAATAGTCTCTGGGCATTTTCAGGAGCTGGATAGGTCTTAAGGGACAGGAAAAGTTTTGTTTTTACTTCTAGATTGTCAAAAGTTCCAGTTAACTGGTACAACTTAATCTGGAAAAGTGTATTACTGATGTACATGTATATCAATTATGTACACAATTCTTTAAAAAAGAAAATACAGTACATTACATTTGAAAACTTTGTTAGACGTTGATAGCCTTAAGGCTGCAATGCATAGTTACCTGGTGATGAAGCCCCAGTGACCACAGTGGGGTTTACATCTGAGTAAACTTGAATATAATTGCACTGCACAGTACAAATGAATGGCAAATGTAAAGCCTGATTCAAGGCTCTTTGAGGAAAACTGGTTATAAATCAGTCTTAAAAAACTAGATGTATAAGCCATTAATATCAGCACATTGTACAATTTTGGGTGTTTTTACATTTTTTAAATAATTTGAATATATTTTATGTTTTGTACAGTATGATTGCATCTTGTGCACAATAAAATTGTGTGATTTCAACCTTAACAAGTCTGTGCCTTGTTTGGAAGGTAAGGATGGTTGTGAGGGGCAGTTTCAAGGGGGTAGTTCAGGTATGTGCATTTTTGCAAAAGATGCCATGTGTGTAGCTTATATGTGATCTGAGCTGGGGCAAGGGAACAGCACAATTAAGTGTAGAAGGGCCCAGAATACATTGTTTCCAATAACCCTCAGATTTCTCAACTTCCTGTAAAACTGTGTGAAGGGTGAAGTTGTTAAGATTACAGTGGTACCAGGTTAAATATGCTTCAGGTTACAGACTCCGCTAACCCAGATTAAGAATTTTGCTTCAGGATGAGAACAGAAATTGTGCTCCGGCGGTGCGGCGGCAGCAGGAGGCCCCATTAGCTAAAGTGGTGCTTCAGGTTAAGAACAGTTTCAGGTTAAGAACGGACCTCCGGAACAAATTAAGTACTTAACCCGAGGTACCACTGTACTGATATATAATTTGAACAACTTTATCCTTGCCACAGTTTTCACCTCACAGATTTTACATTGAACAGCAGCTATACTCCCTCTAGTGGCCAACTATTTCTGATGTTTTCCACAGGGCAAGAAAAACCAGTCATGTTGCATTGCTAGCCTATCCATATGCACATAGAATTGTGAACATTTGTAATTCTCTCTCACACACACACATCCTGTACATGCATGCTTAATAACATAAGCAGGGTCTAGCTAGAATAGATCCAATCAAGACTCAGCTAGTCTGGCATTTTTATTTTTCCAAGAATCCCAGCGAGCAGTAGGCACTGGAAACTCTAACAGAAATGGGTTGGAGATCCACAGCAATCAACTTTCTGCCCACTCTTGTTTTATAGGGCAGGCTCTGAGTAGAGAAGAGAAAAACAAAGTTATTGAAAATGACATTTGCCTTCCACTACCTTGCTCTCCTTCAGTCATCTTGCTAATTACCCTGGAAAGATTCTGAACATAAATCCTTTTGAGTGACAGAGAGGTAAAGTATTTTAACTGCAATATCCCCTCCTGTTGTTGTACTGGATGCAGGCCATCTGATAAGTAAGCTAGGAGTGCTGCAGCAAGCAGTTTTGTTGATATAAAAGCTATTTCCATAGAAGTTCCACAGAGGCTCCGAAATAATTTATTTTTGGGATGTTAACTCAGCAACAAGAAGGTAATTTTCTAAAGACAGATGGATATGGAAGCAAGCAAATGAAGAGTGAGATCCATATGCTCTTTGACTACACTACATTGATGAAACATAATGTACGTTTTTCAGAGGATATAAACTCAAATTTATGACGGGTATAGTTAATATTATCACACTATTTATATTGCTCCCTCAGATGCTTGATTTATAACTGTCTGAGAGAATTTAAAAGAGATGGCTTCTATTGCAGAAAAATAGAGGAGCTCTACTCCGCTGTCATTTTTGAATCCTGTTTATTGGCTTGGCATTTGAAAAGTTCAAATGTTTTTGTTCTTTTCGCTTATAGCTGCAGACATGCTGTCAGCTTTTGTCCCCAGGTCCTCAACTGCTGTCAAATACTGACTTAATTTGTTATGAAAACAACAGCATTCATATTTTATAACCTGTTGATATATTGATTGTTTCTCCAGAAAAATAATTACAAATATAATCTGAACTATCTGTCTTGCAGGTTAATTCTGTGGCCTTCCATGTGGAATTCCATGGAAGAGCAAAGGAGAAGCTGGGGGGTGGCGAGTGGGGGTAAAGGCTGGAAGCACAGGTGAAAACTGACACACAAAAATTGTCCAGCCTGCTCTTGTACATTTCACAGCAGCTTCAATGAGAGAAAACATGAGGTGAATAAATTACCCAGTTGGAATTAAATTTTCACCATCAACTAATGTCTGCATAGCAAACTGCCCTTAAAGGGAATATTACAGTGGCATTAAGCCAGTGAGGAGGGGAGGCATAGATTACAACCAGCCCTTACTTTAGTTGTTGCATCTTCTACCTTTTAATTTCTCCCATCTAAGCAATATTTATGAAAAGGCAGATAAATCAACCTAAGACCACAGAGCCTAGGGCTTGCCGATCAGAAGGTTGGCAGTTCGAATCCCCGCGACGGGGTGAGCTCCTGTTGCTCGGTCCCTGCTCCTACCAACCTAGCAGTTTGAAAGCACGAAGTGCAAGTAGCTAAATAGGTACTGCTCCGGCGGGAAGGTAAACGGTGTTTCCATGCGCTGCTCTGGTTCGCCAGAAGTGGCTTAGTCATGCTGGCCACATGACCCGGAAGCTGTATACCGGCTCCCTCGGCCAATAAAGCGAGATGAGCGCCTCAACCCCAGAGTCGGTCACGACTGGACCTAATGGTCAGGGGTCCCTTTACCTTTACCTAAATTGAGCAATGGAGAAATATATACCTTAAGATACCTTAATGTATCTTCTTCTTCTTCTTCCCCCACCCATTTGACTAGGTTGCCCCAGCCACTCTGGGTGGCTACCGACAAGATCAGGAGGTGAGTGCCTGCATGATTATATACAAAACATGGCCACTAAGAAATAAGATGGAAATATTGACAGAATGCTGAGATTTAGAAAAGGTTTTTAAAAAAATTCTGGGAGGAGGAAATGATAATAATTGCATAACAGTCCACTGAGGTATGAGCATGTTTAGCAGCCCTGGAATTGGGGAAGGCACTTGCTACTTAACACAATGGTTCCTAACTTTGTTTTGGGTCACAGACCCTGTTGAGAATTTGATGAAAACCACGGAGCCCCTCCCCAGACAACTGCACATAAACACATACAAGATTTTGCATACAACTCATTTAGTTGCATTGAAATTTATCTATTTTCTGCCTGGTTACAGTCCCCTTGAAGCCTATCCATGGACCCATAAGGGTTAAGAACCTCTGCTCTAACAACTTGTAGCATAGATGGGGAACTTCCAGCCTGAAGTCCTGATTGTGTCCTGGAAGGGGCATGACTAGCTGGCAGGAGCACTTAAGAGGAGCACATCTGGTAGGCAGTAAGGATACATAGCAAGGTTTGGTTGCAGGTCCTACTTATTCCAATATTAGCTTAAGGCTGCAATTCCATGCAGTTCCTGGGAATATGACTTGCTTCTGAGTAAACATATTGTTACACGCCACTCTCCACAAGCAGTGCAAGATTCCAGGGGTTCCAGGTGCTTACCTAGCGTTGTATTTTCATTGGGAAGATTGAGGCACAGTGGAAGCTAGTGTCTTTAAGTAATATGCTTTATTAACATACAGTCATACCTCGGGATAAATATGCTTCAGGTTAAGCATTTTCGGGTTGTGCTCTGCGGCGACCTGGAAGTAACGGAGTGCGTCACTTCCGGGTTTCACCGCTTGCACATGCGCAGACGCTCAAAATGACGTCACGTGAAATATGACGTCACGTGCATGCACAGAAGCAGCGAAACACAACCCGTGCACGCGCAGTCGCGTGTTACTTTCACTTCAGGATGTGAACGGGGCTCTGGAACGGATCCCGTTCACATCCAGAGGTACCACTGTATATTAATACCTGGAGGTTTGCAATGGAAGGGTGCAGAACATTATGTCCCTCTCATGGCTTCAGCAAGCAGCCGTGGCTCTGGGTCTCTTAGTGCAGCCCCCTCCAGTCAGCAGCCAAGATGGTCCTGCCCCGCTGCCCAGCAGCTCATGGAGGTCTGCCCTTTTTTCTCCTTCCTTCCTCACACCACACCACAAGCCTCCTGTAAAACAATACTTTGTTCCTGTCACCTCACACAAAGTCACCCAAACAACTTCTGTTTTGCAGACCTGAGCACCTTGTTTCGTAATGGCCTACCTTCAACCAGCCCAGCCAGGCTAGTTTGCACAGGCTAAATCTAAGGATTTCCTATGGCACGTTTCGGGAGAACTGATACAGCCTGCATTTTCCCCTTCAGTGTCCCAGTTATTAGCTAGAGTTTGACATTCATTGATTTATTGGGTTTGGTGGGGTCTCTCTCTCTCCCTCCCCCCACTTCATAACAATATATGGGCCCACACTGCATGGGTTATAGTGGATCTTAGGCATGATCACGGGTCACCCAAGGCATTTTGGCTCCTGTGGCAAAATGCAACGCTGCTGCCCCTGTGATGTGGGTGGGCATGAGGCTCTGCGAGGGTGGTATCAGGTGGGATGCCCATGGGGGGGCACTCCAGTGGGGCTCTGCCACCTGAGGCTGCTGCCTCAGTGTGTGTGTGCCTAATGGGTGGGTTGGCCTGGCTGCCTCTTAATGCAGCCCAAGCTCAAGTTGCTATTAGAAGCACAGATAAGGGAGTGCTTGAAAAGAAGGGGATGTTATTTATTAGGGTTGCCACTCTTCTTTCTTAAGACTAAAAAAAACCTTGTCATGAGTGAAAAAGACATCACCGATTAATATATAAGCTCAATTAACCTGCTCTCTTGCATATATATATATATATATATATATATATATATGCGCAGCAAGGGAGCAGGTGCCATGATAGCAATCTCCCTTCTTTTCCACACAATGCGAAACGCCTGGTGTGAGAGGCCGGCGATGCTTTCTCTAAAAACGGGAGTGACCGCCTTAGTTGTCGTTCTTCTTGTTTTTGACAGGGCTCAGAAAAGATGTCCGAAAGGTCAGGAATTCAAGAGGCGAAAACTGTGCCCTCGCTGCGATAGCTGCTGATGCGCCCATTAAATTTCACCCCGTGACGCCGCTGCGGGTGCAGCTCCTCCTTGCTGCGGCCTCGCGCGATGAGGGGGGCGCTCGGCCGGAGAGAGCACGCCAGCCTCAGGGCCCGGCGGTGGCGGCGAAGGTCTTCTTCCTCCTCCGACGCCGGTGGCCGGGCCGCTTCCCCCTCAAGGTGACCGCGCCGAGTCCTCCCGCGCCGCAGAGGGCGCTGCCTCCCTCCGTGTGACTCGGGGCGTCTCTGGCTCGCAGCTTCTTGCTCATCATCCGGGTGGCCGCGGCGCAGACTGACTGGAGCCCCGCTTCTCCTCCTCCTCCGGCCGGGACAAGACGTAGCGGGCGAGGGCAGCCGGGCCTTGTGCCGGGCCCTGACTGAAGCAGCGGGCGGTGGGCAGCGGGGCTCGCGAGCCGCATGAGTGGATGGAGCCGGGCTCTGGGCTGCAGCGGCGGGGGCCGGGGCTCGGCGGCGGCGGCGGCGGCGGGCTGGGCTCGGCCGGCGGCTCCCCTGCGCTCTCGGGGCCTCAGGGCCGCCGCAGGAAGCAGCCGCCGCGCCCGGCCGACTTCAAGCTGCAGGTGATCATCATCGGCTCGCGGGGCGTCGGCAAGACCAGCCTGATGGAGCGCTTCACGGACGACACCTTCTGCGAGGCCTGCAAGTCCACCGTAGGTACGGTGAGGCCCGTCGGCGGGGCCGAGGGGGAGGGCGAGGAGAGGGGACTTCCAGGGGTAGCGGGGGCGTCGTGGGGAGGGTGGAGTGGGGCGTTACAAATCTTATTTTAAAAATTAGGGTTGCTCTCTAAGCCTGGGTCTTAGATTCGTTCTTGGGACTCTCTGGGGTTCCTTAACCCACCCCATTTCCTCACCCCGTTGATTGTGAAGACGCCTCTTAAAACACCCGGGCCGCATCCATAACTTTGCGGTCCGTGTGAAATCCCTGTTTCCTTCGAAACTGCAAGCAGCCCCGTAGTAAGGTTGGGCTGGGAAATACAATGCTGCTATTGTTTGTTCAGGTGAAGCTCTCTCTCTCTCTCATCCTTTAGGGATGAAGTGCTCTCTCCTTTTCTCTCAGGGCGGGGAGTGAATAGTCTTTTCCTGCCCTTTACTGGGATGACAAAGATAAACTTGTATTATTAAAACTACCTCCAGTTAGATTTGCCTGAGAAGGGATACACTAATTTAGTGTACCTGTGTGTAGAGACTCAGGCACTGGGCACATTCTATTTGCGTTGCTGGAGCAAAGTTATTTTGCTAGAATGCTAAAGTGATGAGGGAGGAAGAAGTATCCCATCATCAGATTAATTTATTGCTAGTGGCTTCTCAGTTCGGGGAGTGCTTAATTATTAGAAAATGTTTATCTGTTTTCACTCATGACATTGCTGTTTTGTTGATCTGATGTGAGAGTCTTTGTTTATTACCCAGGATCTGCCCCAACCCAGGGTGATAGGGGAGACTCTTCCCTTTCATTTGAGATGAAAGTAACTCTGATTATACAGTGTTACCTCATCTCTCCAACACCTTCTTAGTGGTGGTAAACAAAAGCTAAATATATGACAGTAATAGCAAGACAGTCTCCTTCAGTGGTAACTGCATTGCTATTAGTCCACAAACAATCCTTCAGTTAGTTAGTTCAACTACTTTTTATGGAAACTCTTGATAGTTATTATTTCACAGAATTGGCCCCAGTGTGAACACACCTATAAAGTAGTTCAGTGTTTTCCAAAGTGTAGTATCCCCGGGGGCAGCAGTCAGGGATGATGGGAATGGTAGTCCAACAACATCTAGGAACCCAAGGTTGAGAGAGGCTGCTGTACATAGTACTAAGCTAGATAGATAAATGGTCTGACCTTGTATAAGGCAGCTTCCAGGTCTACACTAACAAGCAGTGACTCTCCAGGGTTTCGGACAACAGACATTCTTAGCACTATCTGGATATATCGGAGATTAAACTTGGGACCTCCTGTGTGAAAAGCAAATGTTTTACTATTGAACTTGAGCTGTTCTCCTTGTGGAACATAAAATGTCTAATATGCTATAGCTGGACATCTAACAGTTACAAAGGAAAAACTTAAAAGTAGTTTCTTGGCTGTTAAGATGGCTGGTACAATCTTTATTAAATCTTCGGCAATGCTACTTAAATCCACCTGCATCCTTTATTAAGCTTTATTGACTTACAGTGCTACAATCTTGCAGCAGTTAAATCTCCTTGATTAGTGAGGTTATTCATTGTGTGAATGCTTATAGCAGGGAAGGGAACCTATGTCCCTAACTTTTGCTGGACTCCAGCTCCTATCAGTCCCAGCCAGCATAGCCAGCAAGAGCTTCAGGGCCACAAGTTCCCCACCCCTGGTTTATAGGGTTGTCCAGTGCCTTGAGTTCTAAAGAACCCCTGGTATTCTACTAAACTTATGACATGAATTGGTATTCTCCTTATCATTGTGGTGTAATGTTTAAATAGGGATAAGCAGAGCTTTAAGTTCATTTTCTAGCTCCTGCATGTCCAAACAAATTAAATGCTAAATAGCTTCAGCTATAAGATACTGTTCTGTGCATATTACATTAATGTTAACGTATGGCACTCTGGTTCTAAAATTCCCTTGTGGGAGTTTTCTCTGTTCATTTTGTCAACCAAAGGAATATCTCCATTTAATATAGGATTTGTTTGTAATTTAAACAACAATTAATTGCAATAAGATGTTGTAATTACTGATTACTTACAATTCAGTTCTATGTATGTTTACTCCTTAGTAAGCCCTATTAGGTTCAATGGGAGTAATTTCTAGGTGAATACAGGATTGCAGTCTTAGTTACATATAATAGTAACTTACTAGCCACAACATGTGTGCTAATTTTAGAAACTGGAAGCAAGGATTGCAGAAGTCAGTGCATGGTGACTGATAATCACAGAACAGGACATGGGACTTCTGGTTTGGGCTGTTAACCCAATTGTTTCTTAAAGTAAAAATGTGTGAGATATCCCCCAGAATCTGGAGTACAGCAATCACTCATTTCCTCTGTGCTCCTTGCTGGGTCATATGAAGCCAGAAGTTTCACGTATAAACCATGTTTCTGTAAATTTCTAATCGGATACATGTACATAGGTGTGTATTGTGGGATAAACCAGTGTAGGTGTTCTCCAAAGCAGCCATACCATGTAGAGAATTTAGAAAACATTTATAATGATTTTACAGAAACTCTGAAAGTAAAACATAACTACCAGGGATAACTACCACTATATCTTAATTTTACGACATTTCTGAGTCACCTTACCACAACACTCAAAATGGCTTATAGACAAAAAATACACTTGTTCTGCTGGCTTTTTTCCATTTCCATTTCAATCAACTAAAAATAGCAAGTGGTTCACAAAAAAAGCCAGACATTTATCTGAAACAAAAAGATCTTATAAAGAAGAGCGCCTCCTAACATCTTCAGGTGAAGCATTCCCTCTTCCTTGAAGTTCTGGGTGAGGTCAAAGACTATGCAGTAATTTTAATAACTAAGAAATTAGCTGTTTACCAAGTCAGAACCCAGGGCCACACTGACTCCTGACAATTGTTTCTGAATAAGCAGTCAACCAATTATTTAAGGCACCTTGCTTTAAGTGTATTATATACATATTGCACCATGGAAAGGACTGAACAGCCTTTATTCAAAATGGAGCCATCTGTGAGATTTAATAAAATGAAAAATGAACTAATGGGTAGAGCTAAGTTTAGTAGATGAGTGTTCGTTTGGTAATGAGAGAGATCAGCTGTCAAGCTGTAAACAGCTGAAATAGGATCGGAAGAATCAAAACAAGTAGGCTTTTTTTAATGTCATTTTAAGATTGAAACTTTACTTCTGACTCTGGACTATAACCTTTTGCTCTGTGTTATGTTTGAGATTGTGAGTGTGTTTGAGTTGTGAAAAATATAAGAGAGAAAGTTAAAAAGTTAGAGGATTTGAAATATTTCTCTTTTCTCTCTCCTTTCCCTACCACTTCCCAATTGACTAGCTTGGGACATAAAATTTAATGAATCCCCCCCCCCCCATGATATCAGTTTTAAATAACCTAATTTTCAAGTCTAGTTTCTAAAATAAAAAAGTTATGCAGGAGTAAATTTATTGTTTATTTATTAAATTTCTATACCACCCTTCATCTGAGGGTCACATGGTGGTTTACAGTATAAAAACAGAAAAGTCATTGTGCTACGTGCAATGAAATGTGTATAATGGAAGCTGATATACCTATATACATACTTCACCAATGTCAGTGGCGTAGCAACCCCCTGCTGACGACCGGGGTGGAACTTTTTAAAATATTCCTTTAAGTAGAGGTTGGACAAGTTTAATTTCTCTAGCTATATCCCCACACTAGATAACAAGGCTGAAGCAAACAGAGCTATTAAGATGCAATAACTGATAGGGATCCTTTTTTTAAAAAAACAGAACTTCTGGTGGTTCCTAGAAAATACTTGAGTAATTAAAAAAAAAAAACCAACCCAACCTTTCCCCTTGTTGAAAATATTTTTGGTGGTAGCATACTAGATAAATTCATGTGGAGGGCTTATAAGAAATATCTGTTCTTTGTCTCCCCCTTGCCTCTTTAAGTGGTACAAGTCCACCTTCTTAAGTTACTTAAATATGAACAGGTACTAAATTAAACTAAATCATACCTGTGTTGCTTTTACTGCTTATTCCTCCTTTTTTGTTTACTGTATTTTATTTATAGGTGTTGATTTTAAAATCAAAACAGTAGAGCTAAGAGGAAAGAAAATTAGATTACAAATCTGGTAAGTAAAAATAACAACCAAAACCAGGAGAATGTTTTAAAGTTTTGTGTTCTAGCATGGTTTTAATATGCTTGTCTAATATGATTAACTGTTATAAGATGACTTAGCTTTAATATACCTACTGCTCCTTTCCCTTTCCCTCACACAGCTATAGCAATAGGTATCAAATTCATAAGGTAATCTTTTGGGGGAGGAATCAAGTGATGTACCCTACAACTTTTATTTAAGCATTTTTATGTTGTTATTCAGTTGAAAAGGCTCCCAGAGCAGCTTATATAAGGTCAATGAGAAGAAGACAGTCTATTTTAATATTTTCAGTATGCATTTCTAACAAGAACCACCAGTGTGTTTTTTTGGCTCTTTCATTAAATAATTTCCTATACTTTTTATTAGCTTCACATACACCAGATTTTTGTCTTTTGGCATGTCAAATCATTATACAGTCTTAAAAATGGCATGTTACTTTAAAAGTGCTTAGGGCTGCGGAAGTCCATGGCATTTGGAGATCTTGGTGCTTAAATATTTGATTCAGACATCACCAAAATTGAAATGAGGAAAATTAGGCTTGCTCTAAAGACCATTAGTGATACTAATGAAAAATATATGTATGAAAACAGGGTTATATACTGCTTTAAGATCCAGTGAATGAGAGATAATTGTTCAGAAGTAGTTTCTGTGCTATAAAAGTATACATAGTGTGGTACAAATTGCTGTTGTGATAAAATAAACCACCTATGCTTAACAGTCCTAATCCTGTAAGATTGCTAATGGCTTTAGCCTAGTGTATTAATAATACTTCATGCGTTAGAGATAACTTACTAGATTTGCTAATAACTTGTAGTAGAAAAATTAGACTGTGGCTGTTCAGATGGCAACACTGATCTAATCTGATAGTATTTAACTCTTGCATAGATGCAGTGAATTCAGTTTACTAACTCCTCTTGGCAGGTCACCATCAGCTCTGTTTGTCGCACCATGTGTTTGTCTTGCTTCCATCTGAGTTATTTGCTGTTGCATCTTTCGTATCATCTGTTACCTAATACTTGAAAGTTACTGGCATGACTTCATTCCTCATCTGTGTCCCCATCTGGAATCCTATGGCCACAGAATGGTACTTGAGCCAGCATGATGTTTAGCCAGGGCCTACTGAAGCCGATACGAGGTAATGTAGTATTTCAATGTGCCAATATCTTTGGGTGTGAAAATAATCATTACTGCAACCTCCTTAGATTCAGTGTTTTTTAAAAAAAGTAAAAATCCTGAAAGGACATATGAAATTCTTCCCTAAGTAAAATTAAGGTCATCCTATTTATTTCAATGAGTGTTCGTCACATGTAGCTATGTACTTGGATGCCTAACAGGAGCCAATTGTTCTGACATTGATTATTCTCCATAAATTGAGATTAATTAAAAAAAACCCTTCAAAAGGATGTTACTTAACAGATTAGCACTCCATGGAGATTGTGATGCATCAAAGATTTCCTACGTTTTAAGTAAGCAAAAATATTTATTAACGATTTTATTCCTACCAAGGAGTACTTTGTGCACTCTTATGCACACAGAGCTTTTGCACACTATATTTGTTGGAGAAAGCAAATGAACACAGATTGTGCAATGGTCTGCTGCGTCCGGTGGAATGAATGGGGAAACTCTTAGAGTCAGAGTGTTTCACACCTATATAAATATATTGGATTGGTTATTTGTAAGATTTTTTGAGTCAAGATAAATCTAGAGTTCAATTCCTGATGAAAGGTTAAAGGGAGTTGGACATGTTTAGCCCAAAGAAGAGATTGCTAAGAAGTGACACGTTAGCCTTCTTCAAATATTTGAAGAGCTGTTACATAGATGATGGAGAAGAAATATTTTCTGTTGCTCCAGGGGGAAGGACCCTAGGACTTGAACCAGTTAGTTCAGTTTAGGAGAAATGGATTTTTTTCAAATATTAGGAAGTACTTACTGACAATACAAACAGTTTGACAGTGAAACAGGCTGCCTTGGAAGATAGCAAACTCTGCTTTGTTAGACTTCTTCAACAGAGGCTAAATACCCACGTTTCTGGGGTGCTATGGTAGTGAATTTCCTGCATAAGTAGGGGAATGACTTTTGAAATCTCTTTCAGATGTAAAATTCCTATAAATTACATTATTGACAATTAAAATGTTGCTTTATTGGCTACTATACAAATGTAGCATAACGTTTATTCATTTTACTCTAATTTTAATTTTTGTTTGATCTCAGCATCTTTCAACAACAAACATTTGCCATTATAATAATCTCATTGTCTTCATCCCCCCCCCCTCAAAACCCCAGGGAGTCATAGACCTATTTAAAATTAGTTGTTAGCATTGCCTAGCTTTTCTAAGAACTTAAATCAGCTGTTGGGATCATGCAGAAGCTTTAAAAGAATCCATGCTGCCATGCTTATGTTCTCGTTGCTATAAAAACAAACATGGCACTTCTACATCTTGACTATTTCTCAGATTGTTTCAGTTTTGATTATCTAATTGAACACTACTTGAAAAAATGAACTTGTACTTTCTCTTCAGCATTTGGGAAATTCACAAATTTTGAATATAAGGGCCACTTCAAAGATGACCTTTTCCTATGCCATTGGAACTTCTATAGGAAATGTTGTGGAAAGTATATGTAGTATGAATTGTTGTGTGCAAGTTTGCTTTTGTGCATGCATTATCCTTGTAGGAAAATAATCCATTTGAAGTGGCCCTGTGTCTATAGCTGGATGTCTAAAGTTTGGTGTCTCCTTTCCTGTTTCCCTTTGTCACAAAATACTGATGCCACAAAGTCTAGAGTTAAAGTGTGTGTTCAAGTGTTTTCATTTACATTTTAAGCATGCCCACATATTTTTAAAGCTTTTTGTGAGATATTCATTTCCCATGTCATTCCTTCAGGGTATATCTAGGAGTTAGATGTTCTCTGCTAAGTGTACATCAAGACAATGTGTCATTTACATTGGGAATGGTAGTGTTGGCATGCATGTTGCCCATGTTGACATCCTACATTCATGTTTTTCCTTCAATTTGAAGTGCTCAAGTGGAGTTCAGTGATTATTCCTTTTTGTACATGCAAATTGTGAAATATATATGAAACTTTTAAGTGAAAAAATATTTCCAAAGATAAGTCTAAAATAAGAATGGTTGCCCTCTGAAAAGGTGCTCTTGAAGTTGCACGATCTTCCAGAACAGGGCTCAGTGTATACAAAGAATTAATAATCTCCATACTTAGGAACTGAACTTAAGGGTTGGTTTGCTTTGTCACCTTGTTAGAAGGTTGGGTCTTGAGGAGGAGAAGACTTAGTTGCATATAACAGTCTCTTTCTTTCCATGTTCCTTATTGTGATGCGGACTAGAAAAGTGTTACCATGCAATTTTTAAACTCGCTGTGTTTGCAAGCTGAAGTGATACTTGGCATACAATACAAGCAAAGTGTCCATGAAACTTTACTGGTAGCCCAATGGCCACACTAGACAAAACAATAAACGTGTGAATGCATTTAACAAGTCTATTTTTAAACTTAGGGTCGTGGGTTCAAGCGCCATGATGGGCAAAGATTCCTGCATTGCCAGGAATTTATTATTTTGTTGACAGGGTTCATTAGGTGAATCCTGCCCACAGTGTTGCTGAGCTTTGGCTGTAAGGAGATATATTTGGCCCGAGGGGGGGAGGAGCCTTCAGCACTTTGTAACCCCTCTTAGGATGTGGAGAATAAAGCAATTGTTATAGGCATGTCATGCCCATCTTGAAAGTTTTCTGAAGTTGCAGTAGCAAAATTATTTCCCAGAAATGCTGGGAAGAAGGAACCAAGGAAAGGCAGTGTTAAGTGTGGAAGCTGTACCAACCCTGGCTTATCTCATTCCATCACTCTGGCCCCACTTGGCCTTTCTATTTTATTTTTTATGTTACGTCCAGGTATAAGAGCCCACCTATATATTATATATCACCTATAGGATCCCTGCCACAGAAATCTAAGATACAGAAGCTGTGATATTAAGTGGTGTATAAACTATTAAAACAAATTCATAAAAAATAGCCTGCTTTCCTTATCCCTTTTATAACCAAATAATTCCTTTAGTCATATTTTACATACCTCTATACACACACACACAGAGCTGGGTTTAGGCATGGGATGAACAGACCAACGGACATATTTAAAGAGCAAACATATATATACTAATTTATTTTTTCATAATATAATGGGATTATTTGCCGCTTTAATATAAAATAGAGCTTTTATGTGCTTTGAAATGCTTATTAACTTGCCTTAATTATCTTACTTAATCTAAATAAATATGCAGTTGCCTTTAATGTTCACCTAAAGTCTTCCCTCTGGTCAAGAGTCTCTTTACCCCCAGATACCTTACAGGCTTCACTGAGGACTTTACCCAGGGCCAGGGCCTTGCTACTTTTAGGCAGCCTCTACTAATGGACAATGCGGCTTCAGCTCCTCTGGAGGAGTGATGCTGGAGTATGTCTTTCTTTTCCCTAAGACCTTCTCAGCTTTAACCTTCAGCTCTGTGTCTTGGTTTCTTCTCCCAAGTTTCAGCACAGCTCTGGCTGCTTCCTCTGGCAGGACAGATATTGCTCAGCACCATCCTCTCTTCATACTTGCTTTCAACCTCTTCTGAGTCTCTTCCTCAGTCCCTCTCAAAACGGTGCTGTTCTTGCCCTTCCATTCTGTTCTGTCAGAAACTGCTAATCAGTTACAAGGCTCTCTCTCTGCATATCGTTGAACCAGTGTGTTCAACTGGAATATCTTCTAAATGACCTACCACAGCTTGACTTTCTAAATTTTAATGACCCTTATAAAAGCTGAGTTCTGCTAGTTGTCATAACAGAAAACCTCACAAGCCACATCATCACCTCTTTAGTACCAGCCTAGCTATTTCTTGGCAAGCTGCCATCTGAGATACACCCCCCCCATCTCCTGAGCTCCAGTTAGAAGTTGCCAGCTTTTCCTCCTCATTCTGTTTGCTTACAAACTGAACAGTTTTTTAACAGAACATTCTTATATTTAAAATTCTCCACACTACGTTAATTTCTTCTCACTGTACCTCTGAGCCCTTTGTACTCAAAGCTACATCACATTGACCCTCTCCATGTCATTTCATTCCAGTCATTCTCTGGTTCTAAGTGTGACAGAAATGGAAATGTTGTTGCATGAAAAAAAATGAAGAACTGGCTGTTAAATATAAGCTTTTGCTAAGAAAGAATAGTATTTGCTTTTTGCCTGGTGCAGTTTTTTTCAGTTTGTGACCATCAGGTACTCCTAGAACTTCAAAGAACCAGAAAACATACTTCAGAATGCAGAAAGGAAACTTGTCACATGTAGGGCTGGAGATTGAATATGCAATTATCCCAAGTGCATTTTGAAAAGTTCCTTACAGTGCATTTTTTCTGAGGTTAGCAAGATTGGGTTTGTAAATCATTTAGATTACACTTTACATGTGAGAAACCATGTACTCCATACAGTTGTGAGTTTACCTGTAACATTGCAAGCACTGATTTTAAAGTTGCATCCAGCGCTCAGACAGTGAGAGAGACAATGCTATGGTGTCTATTAGTGTTTTTAATTTAATGCGTAGAGAGCAAATACATCATTGTTCTGTTAATACTGACAAACTTGAAAGAAGATGCAAGGTTTCTTTCTTTTAAATGAAGATCTGAGATAATTGCATTTGTTTAAATAAAGAACTTTAGGAGCAACTTTAATTCTGTCCTCTTAGTGGCAGTGACTAGAATTGCACGTCATGTTAAACCAAACCATGCTTAGTGTGAATGTGTGCCATCTGCCAGAGAGGAGATCCCAGCTGCTTTGCTCCTTCCTGGTTGTTTTGCTTTTGTACTGAGCCAGTTTGTCTTAGCGTGTTATCCAAATCCAGGCTCATGGTTTGGCTCTCTCAGACAAGCTACCAGCCATAGATCATGGGACAAATCTTGGTTACAGCTTGGGATTAGTCTGGAGAGATCTAAGCAATGAGTGTGGATTCGGACAACATGCTAAGCTAATCTATGCAGCAGAACAACTGGGGATCTCTTCTCTAGGAGCCTGCTCATTTATTCTAAACCATGGTTTGTCTTCGTGTGACATGCAAACCAGACTAGTGCCGCTGCGGTAGACTTATCATTAACTTGTACATTGTAGCATTGCAGACAGAAGGGCAATGGAGTCCTTTTCAGCTAGCTGCTTCTCACAAACTTAAAATTGTGTGGTGAACAGAAAGGCAGTTACTATTTCTTTCTCTGCATGTTGTTGATAATCAAAATTTTCTGTTCCCTAGGCAGTCTGTTGTACTACTTTTATATAAATAAACTTTTAGAAGCTCATCCCTAATAATAATAATGAAAACATTTCAGAAATTTTGAGCAGTGTTTGAATTATAAACCCATGAACCCAGTGAGACTTAATTGTGAAAATATGTTTGGGGTTGAGGTACAGTGGAACAGAAACATTTATCAGAATCATAGAATCTTAGAGTTGGAAGGGAGACAAGGGTCATCTAGTCCAACCCCCTGCAATGCAGAAATCTCAGCTAAAGCATCCATGACAGATGGCCATCCAACCTCTGCTTAAATACTTCCAAGGAAGGAGAGTCCACCACCTCATGTGGGAGTCCGTTCCACTGTTGAACAGCTCTTACTGTTAGAAAGTTTTTTCCAAATGTTTAGTCAGAATCTTCTTTCTTGTAACTTGAAGCCATTGACTCAAGTCCTACTTTCAAGAGCAGGAGAAAACAAGCATGCACCCTCTTCCATGTGGCAGCCCTTAAGATATTTGAAGATGGCTGCCATATCTGCTCTCAGTCTCCTCTTCTCCAGGCTAAACATACCCAGCTCCTTCAAGCGATCCTCATAAGGCTTAGTTTCCAGACTCTAGATCATCTTTGTTGCCTTCCTCTACAGATGTTCTAGCTTGTCAACAACCTTCTTAAATTCAGTGCATCTTTCTTCTTGAGGAAATGCAGCTGGTACGGTTGGTTGCTTTACTACCTTACACTGCCAAATGAAGGGATGTGGAAGTGATGTCACACTAGCTACTTTGGGAGCACCCTTTCTTTCTCCCCTCTCAGATGAGACAACTTGCCCCCACCATCAGAACTAAGAGAGTTTTACTCATCTTATGTTCCTGTAATGTTTAATCTCTTATAACACAGCAATGTGTTTTATGACTAATGATTTAGGATCACATACTGTTGAAATTACTATGTTGTATGTGACTTGTCTAGCAGGCTCACATTAAGTGTGGCTGTAGGATGTTGGAGTCTTGTCTTGGAAACTTAGTTTTGCCATATATTTATGAGCAATCTTGAGAGAGATCATAGATATATCCATGTGCATTGGGTTTAGTTTTTAAGACAAACAGTAAATGGCAGTAAATGACTTGATCCTGTCCCAGTGATCATTACATTGTCCACATTCATGCATCATAGTACACCATGGTTACTGGCTTACCATGAACACACAGGTAGCTCCCACTTTGCTCCTTCTCTAACAAACCAGAATCTCTGGCTTAGCTTTCTGTCCAACATATGGATAGTGGTTTGTTGCCCTCCAGACAAGCCATGATGTTTAGCCAAGGTTTGTTCTTGTCTTATCAATCACAGTTTGTTTGAGCAAAGCAAGCCATGATCCTCTGTTTGGGGAATCATTAAGTGTGGTTTACTTTGACATGTGAACAGAGCCATTGCATGCATGAATTCTTTCACCCTTACAGTTGAATATACTTGCTAAAATTGTATGTGGTAAAAGTGGAAGTGCTGATAACTCTTTGCATGTTTCATTGAGGGGTTTTTAATCCTACCAAGAGCTATTTTTCTTCCTTGTGAGTTCATCTATTTTTCTTAGACAAATACCTCATAAAACTGGTGGTGGTTCTTACTTGTTTGGTGGACTAAGATACAGATTCACTATATGGACTTCCTTGCAGTAGAAATTTCCAGTGTCAGAATTTATAATTGCAGTTTGTGAAGTTATAAAATTGTTATACCAATATTTGCTCCTACTGCTTCTCAGGGACACAGCAGGTCAGGAAAGATTCAACAGCATTACCTCAGCTTATTACAGAAGTGCCAAGGGTATTATATTGGTGTATGATATCACGAAGAAGGAGACATTTGATGATTTGCCAAAATGGATGAAAATGATTGACAAGGTAAGCTTTAATCTCTCAAAATAAGCAGTAGTGGTTTTGAACTTACAGTAATAAAGTCAAATGGCATGGTGGCAGTACACTCCAGAGAATTCATTATACTAGATATATGGCCACTTTTCTAAACTCATGAGTGTTGGTTAATTGCAGTGCTTTGTGGTCTCTTATTCATTGCCATCACCACATACGTAGCTCATCAAGCCACCTCTGTGTTGCTCTGTGCTTTAGAGCTCTAGACCTAAACACCAACTGGTAGCACAAAACTGTAAATGGTAGCAGTGGGTGTGAGAGAGGGGCTGGCTTCTTGAACAAGAGTTAACACTAAATCAGCAGTTGTGTTTCCTGCCTAATAATATATGAGAATTGAAACAAAAATGTTTGCCTCAACTGTGAATTTGCCGTATAGGATACTATATACACCTTTATGACCTGGCCTTTTGACACTTGAGGTTTATATTTTTAGCACCCACCCTATTGTTGTGACTAAATTGTTGTCAACTGTGTTTTGTTTTATTTTAAATTGCTGTGACTGACCCTGAGACCTTATGTGAATCCTGCCAAATTTTTGAGTTAAAATTGCTATATTCAGGTAGTAGAAACAATGTAAACCATTATGGTCACCGTGCAACATAAGGATTATATTCATTTCTAACATTCAGCAGTAGTGTAGTGTTTGTTACAGGAGGTTGCACAGTCCAACAGTTCTCAAATAATCAAGAAGTTACTAAATTGTACTGGTAGAGTGAAGCCTAAACTAAGGGGGAAATGATCAAGACTGCCTTAACAAGTAGCTTAACAGCCTAGAACTGTTATGAATGTATTGACTGAATAACTTCATTTTGACCAATGTGAAATTTAAAATCAAAAGGCCTAAGCTAGTGGAAACATGCCATTTTATGCTTTGGTGTTTCTTCTTTCCACCCCCCAGTATGCCTCAGAAGATGCTGAGCTACTACTGGTTGGAAATAAGTTAGACTGTGAAGTGGACAGAGAGATCAGTCGGCAACAGGGAGAAAAAGTAGGTGAAGGTGAAACAAAATTAACACACATTGATGAAAATAGAAAATTGCTTCTGTGGAAGTGTGAATGGTGCAGAACCTTAACATTACATTCATTTTGATCTTAATTTTAATGTTGGGTAACTTCATGCCTTGGAACCATTTTACTATAATCTTAATTCATTTTCTTTAAAAGTTCAGAAGCACCACCATCTCTCCTGACTTTTTGGGGATTGCAGTGAGGAGGAAAGCATGGGAAAAATGCCTTCTGTTAACTTCTTTATCTTTAAATTGGCTTATCTTCCTATTTATCATAAGATCCAAGTCAGAATATTTAAATTAATTCTCAAACTTATTTTGCATTTGTTCATTGTTGTTTAATTTCATCCTAATGTACTAGTAAATAAACTGGATCATTTAAATTATTATGGAACTAAATATACTTTTGATCAAATGAAATTTCCTTGAGCCAGACTAAAAATGTCATGATTTCTTAATTTTTCCCATCAGTTTGCACAGCAGATAACTGGGATGCGGTTTTGTGAAGCTAGTGCCAAGGATAATTTTAATGTGGATGAAATATTTCTGAAACTGGTTGATGACATTCTAAAAAAGGTAAAATGCTTCCATACTGCAAGTTAATGGGAATTAAAATGTTGACTGTTTAAAGTACTGTGTTAATTTTTCTTTGAATAAATTCAGTTTCTAGAGTGCACCTTTTGGGCTATTTGCTACAACCAGTTTTTCAGCAGAATACTTTGCATTTCTTTCATACGTACTTAATACTCCTTTAAATGGGAATTGGTATCAGTGTAATAGCTCCAGTAATTCTTTTTGCTTCAATGAGGAAATGAAGTTGTATAGTTTGATTTTAGCATGATGGGTTGTTTTGTTTCGTTGCTGTGAGGCCAGGAGTAAAGGACAAAATTTCATGCTACTGACCAATAAGCTCACCAAAATGTAGCAGGCACAATCCAGATAAAATTTGATGCTTTTAAGTTCCATCAGTAATGATAGTTTGTTAATAGGAAAAGTTGATACTTGATTTAGCAGAGCTGTATGTGTTAAAAATGAATGATGGAGCTTTATGGGTATTATTTGCCCTATTAAAGTAATTAACGATGAATATTATGCCAGGATCTGAATTTAGGTCATGTAATGCTTATATTTCTAGGCTATACCATTGGACTGTGTTAGACTCTATAATATTCTGTGCAGGACATTGCTTACAACAGGATTTTTTCCCCATTTTAAGATGCCTTTGGATATTATAAGAAACGAATTGTCCAACAGTATCCTGTCCCTACAACCAGAGCCAGAAATCCCACCAGAACTGCCGCCTCCAAGACCTCATGTCCGTTGTTGCTGACCGGCTGCTTCATCCAGTGTGCAAATGATAAGTGGGAGGAGGGAAAGGTGAAGGGGAGCAGGAAGCACCTGTCTGACTCTGCACTTACAATCATGTGGCAGTTCCTTGTTGCACTTTGATTCAGAGTCAGAGCTATACACTAATTTGTAAATATGCAAGCCTGGGTAGGATTCAGCTGTAGCTGGTTAAGTATTGCCCTTCCCACAAGTGGTTTTTCACTCCTCTTTCCCAGTGCTATAAATATTGTACATTTGGCTGGGAAACGCAGCACTCCCAAACCTAGGATGTAAGAAATTAAATCCATACTTCACTTATTCTGAACATAAATGTTGTAATGGTCCTTGATATAAACAGAATCTCTCCTAGTATATGGTGCTTTGCTAGCTTTTTCTAAGATAATTTTTAAATTTTTGACTTTCTAAAGCTTTCTTAAGAAGCATTGTTTCCCACTTACAAATTCAAAATAAAAGTGTTTACTGTAGCATATTAAAATGACTGACAGCACAATCCTGTATATGATTGCTCAGAAGTGAGACCCACTGTGTTTAAGAGGGCTCACTCCCAGGTAAGTATGCCTAGGATTGTAGCCAGAGAATGAAATTTGCTATACACAAACCATTCATTTCAATGGGGCTTGTATATGTGGTTCTATGCAAGCATCATTGAAATGAATGGATTGTATAGCAGCAGGATTCAGTGCATTGAGCCCTGAACACACAATTGACATTTCCGGCAATTCTTTATTATTTATTATTTTTAATGCTAGGTCATTTGTGTGTATGTATGTGTGTGCGCGCGGAGGCACTATATTCTGTGCAGTTTATAAAGAATGAATTGCCAACTTGCACAGTTAGTTTCCTCAAATATAAATTAGCTAGCAATCGGGTTCTGTAAGATACAAAAAACAGAGATATATTTGAAACCTAAAATAGATATATATATAAGGCATTGCTGCTGTCCTAGACACATTCTTTTTTTAAATCATTTTTAGGACAAGACATTTCCTGTCTCATATATATGTATTTGTCTGAACAAATTGGGGAGACATCTTTGTTACAATATACTCTTTTCTAATAGGTGAGCTTATTCCCATCAAATATGCTGTACTAAAGGATTTTTTTTAGTCTGAATCAGTTTGTGAACCATATCTTTCTGGTATATCTTTTATTAAAACTGCACTGTATAGTTTAGCTGTGGTAAACCAGTAGCTACATATTGGAATAACTTGATGTGTCCTAAATGTTGTTGTGGTATTGAAAAGCATTGTCGTTCTAAACTAATGATGTGCCAATAAAATTTTGTATTTATGAATGACAATGGAACTGCATCTCTTATTAGAATGCCAAAAATCAAATGTTGGCCAAAAAGGACCATTTTAGGAGAAATTTTTTAAAAAGTGACTTTCTAGTTTATAAAAACAGGACTGGATGTGTTGACTTCTAGCATAATCCTAAGCATGTTTATTAGGAAGCAAAAGTTGCTTCCAGTAAATGATTAGTACTGTAGCCCCAGTCAAACTTGCATCCTATATTGCCAGTAAGACTTGCTTTTTGAAAGTGTCTCAGCAGGCTGTAGCAAAACTAGTGATGACTCATGGAACATAAAATAAGAGTTACTGGCTCTCAAACTCCAAATTGCCTCCTTTTTATTTTTCAGTGCCTGAGCCTCTGTTCTATATACTAAGCAATTAGTCTGACCAGCAGTGTGTTCCACTGGCTTTTCTGGCATTTTGACCTCAGGTTTCAGGGAGGAACTAAGAATGTTAAATAATTGGTTGCAGTTAAATATATGATATTTCTACTGATCTTGGTATACCTCTTTGGATCATTTTAGTTTCAACTAATAAAAGATGCACAATTGAAATGTATACTTATTTCTGCTACCACAACGTGCCTATACAAATGTTATTCTTCTCACACAAAATATCATAGAGTACTGGCTGGGCAAAGTTTGCCATTTTTGTAGCACTGGTAGGGCTTGTAATAATGCTGTGGGCAATAACAGTGGAAAGGAACCTATGGGACAGTAAGTTTAAACTTGACAAATATTTAGGTGATTTTCCTGTATTTAAAAGTCTGTTTTTTGCTTTCAGTTCTTGAATAAAAATGTAAGAAAACAAGTGTAGATAAATGCTTATATCTTATCAGGAACTTGTACATCCAAGCAAGGAGTTTGTTGATCTGTTATTATTGGTTTTAGGTTACTTGAAATGACTTTGAAAGAACTTGAGGGGGGGATGACCTGATTTCCACTGAAGTTACATTTTCTCCTACTTATGTCAATTTGTGTCTTCTGACATATTATAAAAAGTGACTTGTGTGCAAGCCTGATCACACAGCCCTTTGTTTATACATAGAAATTTCCCTATAGATACTCAATGAATATTGCCATTTTCTCCAGTTTATATTAATTTCCTGTCCTAAAGAGGAAAAGGATATCACCTCCCAAGCGACAGCACAATCCTCCTAATAATACTAATAATGCATGTCTGTTTAGGAATAAGCCTAACCGAGTTTGATTGGATTTTCTCCTAGACAAGTACATATAAGATTGCAACTTATAGGACCTATATTTATAATAGCTGAAACAAAATATTCAAAAACCAACCATAGTGATTCCAGTATGAAGAGAAATGCTTTCTTTCACAGTCATTCTTGCCCAGAATTAGACATAGTGTTACACTAGATTACTGTATACCAAAATGCATCTATTCCACATTCCAGAAATACTAGGAACACAAGATACTTACTAAGTAGTGGGCTATACAACTCCAAAAAGAACTTTTTTAATACAAGTTGCATCCTACTAATACAATTGTTTGTATGCAGTTTTTATAAAAACAGCCCAATCTTAAGTGTTCCTTTTCTAGCAAATTTCATTTGTGGTAGCTGAGTGCTTTCCCTTCCTTAACTAGGTGTTAATTGTACCTTGGAATAACCTAATTTGGCAGGAGAACTTCAGTGTAGAAGGGTTGGGTAGGGCACATGTAATTATTACCTAATGTTATGTCTGAGGGAATTTAGGTGCCACCTACAGAAAGAAGGTGGGGCCTGCCATTTCAAGAGATTTGTGTGATTGCTAGTAACTGGTCATGTGGGACAGTTATTACCAATAACAAACATATAAATAGTTCCAGCACTTCGATTTCTTTTCTAAATTATTACCTATCTTTTTGCAAAATACATTGCTGTGAAATGCTTCAAAGTTTGTGTAAGATCTCCCAATCCTGCTACAGCTTAGTTTTGGCTGATTCTCACAATATTGAACACACATGGAGGTAGCTTAATTTGTATACTAAGCTTGCTATTTCATTTCCAACACTTGTTTGAGGGTGCTAAAAATGAACCATGTATTGTGGCCTGCTGGATGTATGCAAACTTTCTTGTTTCTGCAGTTCCAGGAAACAAAAGAGGCTTATCATACCTCTACCTGGCTAAGTTCGGCATAGTGGGTAGTCAGATGTGAGTCACTTGCAAAAAAACCCATGGTGTCTGAACATCTGACAAAAGAATGGCTATTCTCTGCTGGGTTTTTTGTCACTTTGAAACCTGATATTTATTAAATCACAGCTGTAATTGTGAAATACGTAAAAGTGCTGAAAAGTTGGGAGTAGGTTATTAGATTCAGTTGCTATATATCATGATAATGTTTTAGGAAAAGCCTTGGATATAATGTGCAGTAACAGACAAGTGCCATTAGGTGTCACTGGTGTACTTCATATAAATATATATTCACCAGAAGTGAAATACAAGCTTTCTTAAACACATTTTGGCTTCTCCACAAGGGAGAGATCTTGGTTCAGAACACAGGCACACAAACACATACATTAAACTTTGTGGAAATACACAATATATAGTATCTTCAATAAGAAAACAATACATAACGATATAGAATATCTTTTTAAAACCCTAAACCAGGGGAAAATAACAAACTGAAGTGTATGATGCCAAGGTCAAAGTGAAGTGTTGTCTTTGGCTTGCTTGTCTTCCGTCACCCATGGTGGAAGCTGTGCCTCTTTGAAGATGGAATGTCACTGGACTGGGAGGTAAGTAAGCCAAGTTTAGCAGGATACTGGGACGTTTGCTCACTGTGTCAGGAAACCTGTCCTTGGAGCCTGCCTGGAACAAACCAGGCATGCCTCCCCTCAGCTATGCCTCCATAGGTGCAATGATTTTCAAATATGTTCAGGCTTTGTCATTGTCATTTGGAGTTTCCAAAAAGCAAATTTCTACAAGGGCGTGGGGGAAGAGAAGTTATTTACATACAGGGAGCTGATTGGCATTAAGAGATTGTGAACAGAAGGGTGAACTTGAAGATATGTAGGACTCAAAACTGTTTAGGGTGTTCTAGGTTGAAATTGGTATTGTGGATTTTGCTTCAAAGGCACTAGAGGATATGATGCAGACACTGGAGTACTTGATTAATGTGTTCTTTGTGAAAAGTCATTATCAGTAGAGGACAATATTTGTCAACCATTCCGTGCCTGGAAGAAGCTCCAGAAGACACCACATTGCAGACATGATGGCTTCAGCAGCACTGGATTTAGTTCCCCCTCACAGAGCACTGAGCTGAGGGGGTGCAAAATTGAGAAGATCCATTCGGGGGCACGCCAAATTTTGGCCTTGCACAAGGCACCATATGATGAAAGATTACCAATGTCTGCCCCTGATACTACTACGACATGGTCCTTCATTTTAAAAAAAAAAGTGGGAGGAAGGGACTTGTCTATTTGGTGCTTTACTGTGGCAGCATCCTACTAATATAAACCAGAGACAGGAACTGGCAAAGGCCCAGCTTCAAGTAAAAGAAAGGAAAAAACCCTCAGAGAAGTCCTGAAATAGCAGAACAGGAAGCACTTTAGAAATTGCGATCGATAACTCTGACTGGAAAGCTCACTCTAACGATGAACCCACACCATTTGAGCTGGTTTGCTATATTTTAGCGTGGTCAACCATCTCTGAAATGGACTGCTATTTTTGGAAGATAAAAGTAGATAACATTTCAAGCATATTTGATTAGGAAAATCCTCTAAGAGCAGCATGTCCTCTGCTTCAGCTTCATGGTTGTCATAAAAATATTAATGCTGTGGCTTTGTACATATGCACAGTTTAGCAGGTTGTGGCAAATTCTTTCCTAAGTTAAAAAAACCTATTCTTGGTGAAATATAAAGACATCCTGATCCATGACACACAGAACAAGAAAGAAAAGTCTAATAAAAGGAAGAAACTTGTAAAGCAGCAGAGAAATTACCTAAGTTTGTGTCAGCTTTGCAAGACTAAACAATTCTTTGTGAAAACAATCTATCACCAAATTTTACAAGCTAAAGGGGGGAAATTCCTACTACTGCATTTGTTGGTGTGCAACTATAGGCATATATACTTGTGACCTTCAAGGGAGGAGACGATTCACTAGTTCCTATTGTTATCAGTTAGGGTTTAATGGGCATTAATTGCTTAAAAAAACGCTTTGCAGTTGAGTTCCATGCATGCTTATTTAAAAGTAAACCCTGTTCAATGGGGCTAACTACTAAGTAAGTGTGCCTAGGATTGCAGCCTGATTTATTTACTTATAAATGTATTTATATACCAACTCATATAAAATATTAAGGCAGTGTACAACAGCACCTGGGATAGCTTATAATAATAATATAATATAATATAATATAATATAATATAATATAATATAATATAAAATATAATATAATGGGATAGAGCATAAGACTCAATCTCAGGGTTCTGCTTTGAGCCCTATTTTGGGCAAAAGATTCCTGCATTGCAGGGAGCTGCACTAGATGACCCTTGAGGTCCCTTCCAACTCTTCTGTGAATCTATAGATTAAAACATGAAACACCATAGAAAGAATGCAAAATAATAATTAAAAGGACTGTCTAGTCAAGGAAGTTTAAATAGCTACATAGGCCTCTCAGCATAAAAAAGTCTTCAATAGATAAAAATAGATAAAATGCTTGCAGAATCTCTGCTGGAAGAATATTTTAGCTGAAGCCACTTAGACCTCTGCAACACAGGTACAACTAACGTGTCCTCTTCATGATGTCAATGATTGAGCTAGGATATAAGGACTCAGGCAGTTAAGGTGTCCTGGGCCCAATTTTCTCTGGGCCTTGTATATTAATAAGAGAACCTTGAACCTATTCTGGAAGCCTATGGGCAGCCAGTGAAGATGTTTTAACAGAGGTATTACATGCTGTCAGTCATGGGCCCCAATCAGCAGTCTAGCTGCTGCAGACGCTGAACTGCAGTAATCCAGTCTCAAGGTTACCAGTGCATTGATTACAGTGGCTAGGTTATTCTGATCCAGATACAGCTACAATACTTGATTCCTTCAGAGAGAGTACAACTCCATCCAAAACAGGCACCAGTCTTATCTTCCAAACCAAGGAACCATCTACTCACAAAGCCTCTGTCTTCTCAGGGTTCAAATGCTGTTTATTAGGCCTCATCTAGTCCACCACTGCATTCATGTACTGGTCCATGAGGCAAGGTGAAATGACCACTTCAGCCAGCAGGATCCACAGGGCAGCAGACCCCAATGCCAATCTTTATTCTCCCTCCCCTTGTTCCTGATGTTGATATTCACTCCCCCCCTTTTTTTGGCAATGAGGGGAGGGCACCATTTTTTTGGGTCTGCCTCAGGTGCCAAAATGTCTTGGGTTGGCCCTGAGTCCAGGACTTGCACAGCATCCTGATTCAGATGTTATGGACAAATAGAGCTGTGTGGCATCAATGTAGTGATGGCTGTATTCTCTAAAACTTATAATGACTGTTCAGTTACATTGAGGATAAAATGGCGCCCTTTGGCACAATTGACAGCCAAAGAACACTCCCCCAATGCTACTCCCTGGGCTTGACTGCACAGGTAGGAATTGAACCACTGCAACACAGTGCTTCCAATACTCATCCCATACAGTCAATCCAGGAGGATACCACGGTCAATAGTATCAAAGGCTGTTGAGAGATCAAGTAAGAGTAACAGGGTCATATTCCTCTTGATAAAGGCTATCCATAAGTGTAACCAAAGCAAATTCAGTCTTGAACACAGATTGAAGTTGATCCAGACAATCTGTCACCCAGAACTCATGAAGTTGGTCCACCGCAATCCTCTCCACCACCTTCCACCCAAAAGGACTATTGGTGTTTGGGTCAAGGGTAGACTTTTGAAGGAACATACACACCACAGCCTCTTTAAAGGCAGTGGGTGTCACCGCATCACACAATGAGCATTGATTGCTTTTGAAAGCTGGTGGATACACCAGAACCTCTTGCTTTTGCTGTCTCTTTATCTTTTGTCACTACTCCATTTTTAAAAATCCTTCCTTCTTGGGCACTTGCTTCATGCCACCCTCCTTTCTTAGGCTTCCTGTTTCTTGGCTGCTGCTTGTACAGCCTTTCTGTCCTCACATCTATTAAACAGTACAAACATTTTAAAGCGAGAGATGATGGGTTTCACATTTGCTTTGAAGTTACGTTCTCAGGGCAGGCCCATAATAGTTTGCGGCTTGTGGTGAAGGACAAGACAGCAACCGCTCCCTTTCCATATACAGAAGTCAACCAGAGAGACAGTCAAATCTTACTTTAACACTGGTGAGAGGAATGTGTCCTCCATCACACCCGATGGCAGCAGGCTAGTTCAAAGGACAAAGAGCAGGTTGCACGACACACTAAGCTCTGTTCTCCAAACCCTTCTTACTGTTCCTGCTCTTCCAGAGCCAGAAGAGCCAACACTGTACATTGTAAGTTTTAGAATTCATTCCATTTAATCCCAGATGTTTGATATCTGGTTAAGGCACTCTATACATGGTCAAGGATATTTTTTTCTTATATTCTAGATCTGAACCCTATCAATGAAAATAGGTTCTCAGTCCATTATCCAACCATCATTTTATTTGTATGCCACCTTTCCAAAGTTAAAACCATGCTCAATGTGGCTTCCAATATATTAAAAAAATTCACGACTACAGGCATAACAAAAGTACTCATAAATACTAAACAAAATGTCAAAAAGTACACAACCAAATTGAACAATTTCCACATAAATATTAAGGTCCAAAATACATATTTTTTTTTAAAAAAAACAACCTCCACTCTCAACAAAAACCACTAGAAAATACCTTAGCCCAATAATCTGTTCAGCAGCCTCAGTTTTTGTAGCTCTGGAGTCAGTCTCCCAGTCTCCCAGGCCAGGTGGGAAATGTCCTGCAAGGCTGGGAGCAGGTTTTCTAGGACTCATAGCCAAGAGGGTCTCTGATAAGGTTCTGGGCTCTGATAAGCTTTGTGGCAAATTGACTATGTAGAACTTCACATTTGTTATGTAGAATAATGAAACAGAGAGACACCAGCCTCTTCTTGCTATTGTTTGGTCCGTTTAGCTCAGTATTGTCAGCAACTCTGCAGGATTTCCTATGTGCTTGACCACTCATAATAGCATTGCTCTGCACATCCTCTGTACTATATCTGGCAAAATATTAAAATGAAAACATCTCTGTTTTGAAAATGTAGCAATTTAAACAGATTTGTGACAAAATAAGCAATCATTACATACCACACCTTCAGTCATTGCATGTCACATTCTACAGCAGGATGCACTTACAAATGTAGTCCTACAGGCATGTTGCATGGATATACATGTACGATATTAGTTCCCTGCTAGCATGAATTTAGCTCTTTGTGAGTGAGAAGAGCCTCACAAAGCTCTTGTCAAAATAAAAAAAATCCTTCCAGTAGCACCTTTAAGACCAACTAAGTTAGTTCTTGGTATGAGCTTTCGTGTGCAAGCACACTTCTTCAGATACACACTGTGTATCTGAAGAAGTGTGCTTGCACACGAAAGCTCATACCAAGAACTAACTTAGTTGGTCTTAAAGGTGCTACTGGAAGGATTTTTTTTATTTTGACTATGGCAGACCAACAAAGCTCTTGTGTAACAGAAAGGCATAAGTTCCAGTCAACAGCTCTAGTTTCTTTATGCAGTGTGACTCATAAAGACAGAGCACTGAATTATCTGGTGGAACTGATTATGTAGGACACTTTGTCTATTGTGTGCTATACAGGAAAGTAGGGGAAGCTCCACATTATAGAATCTAAAGCTGTTTAAAGACGAAGAGGAGGAGGGGGGTTTCTGAAAGGAGAAACTCCAGCTTAATGTTCACTTTTGAATGATCTCTCACAAAATCACTGCTCACAAGCAGAAGGTGGAAAACGAATACCAAAAAATTCAGCCAGCAGAGGCACATTTATATGGTTATTCCTTTAGCGGTTTCATGTTTGCTGTTTTAGGCACAATCTGAGCCCCTCTATCACGTATATTTTCTGCAAGTACCAAATGCAAATTTGTAAATGTTTAGTATGACACTTGATATTTGCACCATTTCTCAAGATAACATTCTCCCTGCTGCCCACTTCTCTTACTAGATTTAACCAGACATCAGGGCAGGGGTGGGGGCGTCCTTCCAACAATTATTTCATATTGTCACCGTTCAGGTCCAGGCTGAGAACCTGACCACAATCTTATGCCTTTAACTGTGTGTCCCAGGTCTGACAGCTGGGGCCTAATGTGGCAAGTGATTTGAGACTGTGCATTTCTATGTCACCAACTGTCTATGCCTAGCATGCTGCATAGCATATGTAAGTAAATATTTGATGTGCTCCTCCACTCCCCTTCCCTATTTATTACTGCATGCCCATATTAAGAGCAGAGCTGGAAGACACAGCTGTAGCTAACCACAATGGTTTCATTAAATAAGGAAGGATGGGGGGGGGGGGGGAATGCCTGAGAAATCTGTTGATTTATTTTTTAAAAAAAACTTTCCTAACTTGCTTGTTTCCACTAAGCAATGCTTTGACATAATTTTATATATCAACATATTATGTTATCATCAGTATATAATAGTGCTACAAGTTTTACACAAACACAGCTGAACATCATGTCTCCAAATAACTTTCAAAGTATGTTTCTCAAACACATTAGCTGGTGTTTTCTTTATAAGTTTTAAATAAATCCATTTGCGTCATATGGAATAATGGATTTGACTGTATATATGTATATATATGATTTTTTATAAAAAAAACACGACACATAATTTGAATACAACGTGTGAACAATCTTAATTTAAAAGATTGTACAGGGAATTTTTTATGTTTAATTTTTTATTATGTTTTTTGTATATGCTGGAAGCCGCCCAGAGTGGCTGGGGCAAACCAGTCAGATGGGTGGGGTACAAATAATAAAATTATTATTATCAGTGCTTTTTTTCTGGGGGGACGCAGGGATACGCATACCGCTAAACATTTTGTGAATCTTTTTACTTTTGTCTATCTATTGTATTTATTTTTCCCAATTTGAACTATAAAATGGTGATTTTCTTGAGTCAAAATGAGAGTACCCCAAACATTATTTTTAGAAAAAAGCACTGGTTATTATTATTTAACTGAGCCATTACCATTATATGCAAAGAACAATGTTGTTCCATGAACAAAACAAGGAACAGTCGGGTAAGTTTATCTCCCCAAAAAGATTATTAGTCAAGTTTATACAAGACTCTGGAGTTCTGGCTGCTCCAAAACTGAACTGAACAGAAGTTAGGCTACCTCAATTAAAGATACTGTACAGTATCAACACATTGCAAGCAAACCCACCGCAATAAATTATTTTCAGGGGCCAAACAAAGGAGTCCAAATTTGTTCCCTTAGGGCAGCTACTATGCTGGAGTGAGTCACTTATGGCCAATTCTAAAGGAGCCAAGGTTCACAGAAACTGTGTGTGAAAAAAGACCATATACATTTCTGATTATTTTTTAGAATATTTTCTTGCACGGCTGTATATTACAGATATAGGTGTGGTGTCTGCACATGTCTGTAAATTGTGTTAAATTTCATAATAGTAATTTTTAAAATATATATCTGAGAAACATTGTTCTCTTAAGGAAGACCTGAAGTGGGATACACTTCACATCTCAGCAAAACCAGGAAGAAATGTTTTCTGTGAGCAAGTGGCAGGTGGCAAGGAAAGGTGTTGCTACCAATTAGTAACTGTGCTAAAAATGAATAATTAAAGAGAGAAGCGGCTAACACCCTTTCATCTTTTTTCCTTTTTTCACATCATTGGGAATAACATCCCACCTACCTCATAATTTGCATGTGTAAGCTGGAGCAAATTTTCCAACTTAACCTTGAAATAAGTTTGAATAAATAGGTAGGTGTTATCAGTTGATCAGTGGCCAGACTATAGGCTGTTATTCGCTTTCCCATAATTATATGTTCATTTAAAGTTTACCACCATCTAGTAACTACAATTTCTTATGGGTTTCAATCCAGTCATCCACTGCCTGAGAGACTCATTTAACGCTCCTGAGAGACTAATTTAAGACTGCATGTATTTAGTTTTTACCAGAAGAGTAGAAGAAACACATTTTATAGAAGCTTCTAAAGGTTCTGCTCCTAAACATTTTCCTAAAGATCTACAATAAATGAATAAGGATACTTTTGTTCTTGACTTAACGCTTGTAGTTTGTTTGGGGGGAACCAGCTATGAACACTGGTTTGTCTGCAACAAAATGCCAGCCTCTGGTTTATTTTCTACCCACTGCAATGAGGTCAGGAGGGAGAGAAGAAACTGGAATCTCCTCAAGGTTTTTCCTCTCCTGTGGCATTCCAGACATATGTTTACCTCACAAATGAATCTTAGCTACTGAAGAATACATTTCAGCTGCTGAAGAAATGCTACAGATCACCTGGAAATACAAACTGCTAAATTAAAGGAGATTCGGCCACATTAATAACTACGGTATATCATTAGAAAAGGGTACTTCAGGAGCTGCTGCTTCCACCCCAAAGCTTCACTGACAAGAGCAATGAAACCAGCTAAGCTGGTCACCATTATACAAATATTGAAGACATGAGAACTACAGTTTGTTGATGGCACAGGTGGTGCCTGAGGTAAAAAGGAGCATTGAAGTTGAACTTTTCAGAAAGTAAATTTACTATGTAGTTTGTGATGGGGGGGCTGCCCTTTAAACTACACAAATGTCAAAGGAGATTGCACATGAAGAAACAAAAGGCAAGGCAGTTTCTAAAAGCAGAATGGAACAAAGCACAATTAAAATCCTCTCACCTTCAGGCTGACCCTACCATTAGGCAAAGTGACACAGATGTGCCAGGTGCCAGGTGCTGGGAGTGGAGAATGGTGACAAGGTGTGTGCCATGCACAGCTTGCCTTCTGTGCCCTTAAGATAGCTTGCTGCCCTCAGATGTCTGTCCTGTCACCAGCATTAAGGTCTGAGTCAGCTGCCAGTCCAGCTGGCTTTTGTTTGCGGAATTGGAAGGGGCCACCAACTAGACCTTTGCCTCAGACAGAAAATTGCTTCAGGCCAGCCCTGTTCAGCTTTGAAAACATCCTACGGAAGTGCTAGATGTGGAATTAAAGGCTGGAGTTATGTCAACCCATAATGTACACCTCACCACACGGCATGTTCACTGTGCATATCTTGGCACCTTCTTGTGAATCCTCAGCTGCCAGAAACATCACAGCTTCTGTCTTCTGTTAAGCAATAAGCATCTTTATGTCTTTCTTTTAAAAGCTCATTTATAAAAGCACCTTTTAATGCATGTATTAAACGTTTTAACATGCAAAAACACAAAAGCGCCATCTTTTTAATGTACCGCAATGTAACAATAGCAATCCTAGTTTAATGCTAGAGAGATACAAAACTACAACAACCCACACAGTGACAAGTGCTGATGTGACAATGGCCGCTTGCTGTTCTTGGCAAGTGGCCAAAGTTTATCCTACTAATACTACATATCAGTTGTAATCTTAACGTGAAAACTAGTTTCTAAGTATGTGCTGATATAATGTATGTGTCTCTCTCTATAACTTGCTAAATTGTCTCCAGTCCTGTCTCATCACAACTACCAACCCTTCCACTCAAGTCTGTGTTTTACAACACCTTTACACATCAACAGTATGCCACATCTGGCGATGATGGCTACTGCAGTTATGACATTGCTGATCCACAGTGCTACGTAATTGTGACATATTGGGTTAGCTAAGCATACCAAGGCCATGTCAACAGTTATGGTGTTACATGGGTAACCAGTGTTGTATCATATTCTTATTTACAGGTACAGGGCTGTGACACATGTGAAACTTTCACCCCACCTGGAGACCACAGCAATCACCACATTACATCGAACAGTCAAATGCAAGGTTACTAGCAGAAACCATATCCTCCTGAAAGGAGGTTCGGAGAAGAGTAGATGCCTGGAGCAAAGCCTGAATCCAAGAAACTCTGAAACTAGCTCTGTAAGCACCACAGGGTGGGGACTTTAGGCTTGTCTTCCTGACAGAGGAGCCTCACTCACATACATGCAGTGTGAACTGATTTCAAAATCATGGGAAGTTTCAAAAGTAGCTTGTGATGTGGGCTTATATATCCTATGTAGGAGAAAGTATCATTGCACAAGCATAAATCCTTGTATTTAAAGGATAGTTAGTTACCATAACACTAAATTGAATACAAGCCATGGGAAGGGATCTGTTGTTAAAAGAAAAGGGGGAATTTAGGGCAATTTAGTTTCCAGCCCAGGACAACAAACCTTCACTGCTACTGAAGTGACCCGACAGCATTTGGTCAGAACTGCTAAATCTGAAGAATCTGCAGTGGTGAGCAGACCTCTGCACGTGATAGAGAATATTTGGATACTGGGGGACTGTTTTTTTCTTTAAAGTAGCAAAACCAATTTCATTAAAGCTCAAGAGCTTTTTCCTAGGAAAACAGCATTGGCCAGAGTCCCTCTCTTGAACAGGCACCCAGTGACAGATGAGATGTTACACATCTGGTACAATATGATGCTAGCAT